TACCTTCTTGCACTAATATGATATGCTTAACGTCACTTCTCTTCTAATATTGTCTTATGTAATATATATAATTTTACATATTTGAAATTGTTCCTTTTGTATAATTATGATGCTTTACTTTGCTTAATGTTTTTTCTTTTCATTGACTGTTTTATGTAATATGTATATCTTCGAACATTCGGAGGCAATAAAGATGTATATATAAATATATACTATAGGAGAGTGCTTTTGGCTATGTTAAATCACCTAATTTATACATGTACATTGTACACCTGGCAAATATCTTTACTAATCTGAGCACAAAACTGGAAGCATGTTGCTTTAAGGTAGAAACAAATATTCAAAAGTTTTTTCAACTAAAACTGACCTTTAAGTTTTATTACTCTGATTTACATTTCATTATTAGATGTTATCTGTAACTCAGCATATATGGGGTTTTCCCCCCCCATCTTATTCGTGGGTACAAACCATTACAGCTTCACGTTGCACTAACATTCACAGTACATTAATATCACTTAATATCACTTAATACACTTGTTACTATATATAGTAACAAAGCTTTCTATATGATTTCATCTGATTATGAGTGTCATGTGATCAATTTTGAGTTTGTGGCCTCAGAGGCCGAAACCTGGTAATCATAATCAGCCAGCTGAACACTTGTGGAAAAAGTGAAACAAATATCTTATTGAAAGTATAAAAATGTGTTTGTTTCCTGGAAATAGATGGGAAAACCCCTAATTTGTAGAGTTTTGGGGTACATGTATCTCTATTTAAAACAAATACTGTTAATCTTTTGGAGTTTCCTTTTGCTACATGTACTGCCTTTTGTTACAAGCACTGTGACAATTAATTTTACAGAATTACACAATAATTATTGTCTTCCTGAATTATTCAAATGACAAAGGATAACAACAATAAGTCTGGAATCAATTTTGTATGTTAACATATACATGTATTGTTGTATCTGTTGTTTTTTTGTTGTTGTTTTTTTCTATGTCATTGTGCAATAATTTAAATTTCATTGCACATTTATTTAAACAAGGAAGTATCACTTTTCATAAAGCTAAATTTAACTTGTGACAGCTTTTAACATTTTTTTTTAACTTCTGAAGTACTGTCAACAAATCTAATATGTAAGATGAATGTCCAATGGTAATAATCATCTGTGAAATACAGGAAAATATTTGAATGTTTTTTTTTCCTTTTGGGGGTTAGCGGTAAATTGTCCCTTAACATGCTGAATCTTTGTAATGGAATAGCCCTCCTTTGAATTTGGAACAGTCCATTCAAAGTTTAAGGGATTTCAATTACTAAGTACTAAATTTAGTAAAATACAGCTACCAACAGTATTGAACTTGGCCAGACTGCATGGACATGCAGTCCCGCCTGGCTCTATACTAGCTGGTGACAAATTAAGACTAATCTATTTTGGTTGCAGGAGGATAAAGGGTTAAACTATATGAAAAGTGTTGATGACAAGATGATTCTCCCTCCCACCTCCTTTTATCTAAATATAGTATCATATTGCCATTAATTAGAACTGACAAAAGACAACAATAAAGTAAGTCACTGATATGTAAGTTGAAATTTCTGTGAAAAATAGTTTCAAAATGAATTGTAAGATACAGGATAAGGTAAATTCATTTAATAATTTAATATAATTCACAACAACCGAAAGGCACATTTGTCTGAGAATTATTTTCACTTATAATGCCCAAGTCTTGTGTCAGTTTTTTATGTATATTTTAACAGGGTATACAAATATATCCATTTAGCAGAAGAGTACTATCCTCTTCTTTAAAAGACAAAAATCAGTCTGGAATGTAAGGTTTTGATTCTGAGGTATTAGTATTCATGCCCCCCCCCCCAACCCCCCAAAAAAATCAAACATTATCAGGCCAAAAATATTAAATTTTTGTTTCTATCAAATTTCATCTATAAAGCAAAAAAATAATAAGAAAAATAGTATATTGGTTTGCTGAACCCCTTTTCTTTATGATCCTTACAGTTTATAAGATAATTTTATTCAAAATAATTTTTTACTCTTTACAATTCAAAAGTTGTCACGAAGAACCACAAGAATAAAATCATATTGTGTTTTGGCCTATTATTAAAAAACAATAATATCATCTTACATTGTACATGCATTGTATAATCATGGAATATTATTATTGTATATAACATAACAACACTAAACTTCTAACATTAACAAATATTTAAACAAACAGCACAAATAACACTGATAAAAATGAATACTTTTAAAGGGAATGTGTCCAACACAGAAAAATGTAAACATTTAACATAGTTTCCTTAAGGCAAAAAAAAATCTGTTTCTAGGTCCCTTTAATCTTTGCTTTACTTTTTCCTTTAAAACAACATAATAATACGCTCTAGATTATAAATTTCTTTTCTCCTTTATATGTACATTATATAATTAAATATAAATATATATAATTATATAAATCTTTTTTTTATATTTATATGCTTACTTATTCGGTTTTTATCTTTATTTCTTTTATGTGAATAATCTGATAGAAAATGAGAAAACAAGAAATTAGAAATTTTGTTGATTTTTTTTTTCTAATCAAGTCTAATAAAGCCTTTTCCTCAGATACTATTTGTGAAAATAAATAAATGCATATGGCAAAATCATACAATATACTAATAGCATAATCAAAATCATATAATATTCTAAGTATTTCTTTCTAAAGAAACCTCTGATTTAATTACAGATACCACAATGTAATTTTTTTCATAAATACAAAATAAAGTTAAAGGAACTCCACTGAGGTCAAAAAGTCTAAATACATGAAATTTTCATTTCTTACATCAGAGTCCTTGTTTTTAAAAGACCCTGCTTACATAGATCAACTTAGACACTTTAAACAGAAAAATAAGCAAAATAAAGAATAAAGAAATATACTAAAAAATAAATTGAAAATTGTATTTTTGTGCTATTCATGAAAAACTTTGCAACTTTTCAATTATGGGTCATTTTTATTACAATAAGAATAATTATTCCGGAAAAAACAGAGAGTGAGCAATTGATCAGAAATTTTGCACACACGATATTGATATACACATCAAATGGTACAAAAATCTCGTAAAATTATTTCCAGTCGCGTCATGTCAAAAAAAAAAAAATCTCTCATTGGAGTCCCTTTAAATCAAATAACTTCAATGCATCCATCAATGTTTTTCTTAATGGTAAAATGATGTTATATGTCATCTACTGAATTTGTAAAGGAGTAAATAAAGGCAGTGATTTCTCATCTGATATGAACTTCAAAACAGCTTAAAATCAATACAGAAACAGAAAAGGAACATTAAATATATATCTACCTATCGTATGGTTTTACATGCAAAACTTAATCATTTTAACTATATGAACATTAAAATACATTACCTCAAGAGAGATGATGTTGTTTACAAAGTTTTAATCCTTAATACAAAAGCAACACCCAATTTTACCATGTACCTGAATTTTTTTTTCCACAAGAATTGTACAGCAATGAATTAAATAAATTAAGATACTCATACAAAACATGAAGTCAAAAATTTAACCAGTGAGTAATCCTAAATTAAAGTGAAGTATCTTATGTGTAGAATGTATCATAAACACTCTTGTTTTTGTGTTTCCAACATAAACAAAGTTAACAAAGTCCAAAAAAGATCTAAATTAGATTGCATTATACATGTACTAATATATCATATATAAAAGTATTTACTTTAACAAGCAAACAAGGAAATTGTGTTTTACAGATAAATGAAAATTATCAATATAATTTTATTAAAATTTCACTCTCAATTTAGATATAACTATGTTATTTCACAACAGATTTTCTTTTCATTTTGTCTCAAATAAATAAATACAAATATCAGCAACATTAACAAATGCTGCAAAAAGTTGCTGTGACATAGAGATGACCTTGCAATGGGGTAAAGTATGAAAATCTATTTTTAGCTCAATTAACTTCTGCTCCAAAAATTTGCTGTGACTGAGTATGACCTTGTAATGGGGAAAAGTATGGAGATCTATTTTTAGCCTCTGCTCCAAGATGTTGCTGTGATAGAGTAAGGTCTTGCAATGGGGTGACATATAAAAATCTACTTTTAGCCTCAGTGACTGACCTTTTTGACCTGAAGCCCTACCTTAACTAGTTATGCAGGTTTCGGATCTATGGCCAAGTATCACAAATAAAAGTCAGTATAAAAAGTTGCTGTGTGAAATGGTAAGTTGATTAGAAACATAGAAGAAAGGACAAACTGTCAACCATGCAGTATGCTCCATTACAAAATATCAATATGATGAAAACCTAGTACACAATAAGTTAAAAATTAAAGCTACATTTTCACCTATAACTGAAAGCTCCAAAATGTACAACAAAGAAAGTCCTTAACTGATACTACAGGAGACAAAACAGTAAAACATTAAAATTGTGCAATTTAAGCAGAAAATTTTATCCATCTAAAAATAACATATGATCAGATAATATGATCTCAATAAATGTGACTAAATTAAAAAAAAAAAAAAAAGACAAAAATTTATGTAAATCTTAAATAAACAATCTCAAAACATTATTTTCACTTGTTTTTTTTTTAAATTTTTGTGTCATTTCTTTACTTTGTTTAATTTTTGTGTCATTTCCGCTTATTTGTTTTAATTTTTGTGTCATTTCCTACTTGAAAATACTGGTACATTATCCACACTTTATTATTCTAGACTACTAAAATGCACAAGTTTTTACAAGCTATTGCAATCTCTGTTTCTTTTGTGTATGATATTTCCTTGTTCTTGACAATGTGCTCCCAGTGAGGCCATCTTGCAGATATCTGTCACCATGAAAATTAAATTTAAACTTTTCAAATGTCATCTCCATTTCATTCGCTGGCCATGATAAAAAATATTTCAACACTATATTGATGTAGATTTTTCACCCCCTCTGAACATCACTTTATCACAAAAAAAAAACTTTCAAATTACCTCCCCTTGCACTTCACTGTATCACACAAGCTTGAGAGTTATCTCCCCGCTGTCCAGCAGCCTTAGCAAAACAAATTGCCTGCATCCAGTCATTCTGTGCTGCATTTGTTTCTGCTTGTATATAATATGTCCTCCCATTTTCCTTCGACTTTATAGAAAATGCATGAGGTTTTTTATCAACAGTACTTTCAGAAATTTCCGCATTTGTTAGTGGGATCTTCTTTTCTGCATCCTGAAATATGAACAAAAAATAAAGACCATGCTTTCTCATTATAATAAAAACAACAGCCTAATAGAGGCTGCACTCTACATTTTCTTATTTCTAAAGTCAAACACATCAGAGGAAGTATTTTATAGTAAAGAGTTTTCCTACAATATATTTTTTAAGAAATAAGATTCAAAATATCATATTTGACCTTGATGATTAAGGTCATTCAAAGGTCAAGGTCACATTTGCATTAATCTTCATATCAGTTCTGTCAGAACTGAGAAGTACAATTTTATCTAAGAATGCACAAATCCATAAATAGAAAGCAAAGTAAGGAAAATTTAAAGGCACATAGTGTGCCTCAGAAACAAGTATTTTTCCCTTCTTTACAAATGGTAAAAATGGCTTTTATAACATTTAAAAATGTTTTTTATATATACATGTATTTTTTATTTTGGCTGGGTTATATGTTGCACCAACACAGTATACAGTAATTATACTATAGGTCATATGGCAACTTTTGAGCTTTACTGGTGGAGGAAGGTCTTGTGCATTTTTTCAGGGGCAATTGGGCAGCTGTGTAGAACCACTGATGTGAAGGAATCCTGTTAGAGATGAGTGGTTTGAACAATAATATGAACTTGATTGACATGGTAAAAAAGGTCAAGGTCATATTTGAGAATCCATTCATAAGTAACAAAGTTATAGCCAATTATAGCAAATATCAAACAAAATTCATTAATTTGACCTTAAAGGCCTTGAGTGAAGGTCATAATCAAATAAGACTACTTGAAGGTCTTGTACCAAGTATGAAGACAATCCATTGATAAATAACAGTTATTACCAATTATAGCAAAAATCAAGCAAAATTTGACTTAAATGTCAAGGTCATTTATGAGTTAATGTTAAGTTCAGTCTGGTCTACTTGATGGTCTGGTTGTGTTCAGTTATGAAGACAATCTATTCAGAAATAAAAAAAATAATGGCCAAAGTTAAAGTTATTGGATGGCAACAACAACCTTACTGAAAATTTTCTTCAGAAAAGTCAAGCTAAAAAACTGTTAAATAATAATGAGTACTGGCAATTAGTCAATAGTGATTTGAAATTCATTTGTTCAATCAAAATCGTGACCTAGTGAATAAGGTATGATGATATATCTGCGACTCAACCAAGAACTTGTTACTGTGGTCATGACTTGTAACAATCAAGAGTAAGTGCCACAAACTACAAAGCCAACTCTGAAATCCTTCAAATGGGCTACAAGCTTTTTTCAGAATCAAACTGAAATAAAAGACTTAATAAGGAAGGTAACGGAAGGTAATTCATTTTTTGGCAGTTTTAAATTCGCTCTCAAACAACTACTATAAGTAACTCTGAATGAACTCAATCAGGGTGTCCGTTTGACCCTTGAAATGACTCTCTGACCCTTCAAATTTCCAAAAGGCCTGATTTGACCCTCATGTTTTAACCAGTGACTCAACTTTTGTTAAAATCATGGGGATTTGACATTGTAGTCGATAAAACTTAGTCAAAATAACGCTCAGGATTTCATGGCTAGTGGACACAATATTTAAAGTGTCTCAATTATACAATCTCAACCATGAAATGCTACCGTACTCAGGGTTAGAATTTAGCGATATTTTCTACTTGCAGATTTTTGCAAGTGTTCAAATGCTTAACTGGCAATATGAGGTAGTCAACTGGCATTTCCATGATCACGAATCTTATCATTACTATAATACACAATGACAATGTATTTTGGACATCTAATATGACAAATGATAATAAGCTTGAATCATGTCAGAAGCATCTTTATCACAAGTAAACACAGATCTATTTCTTCTCGTAATGAAACAAAAACATTTCAACACATTAATTTATAAATAATAAACTGTTTAGGGATCAGATTAGATATACCAGAGGAGCACCCACTGATGACAATGTACAGTTATAAACTTGTTCATGTAATGTTATTTCTTAGGACCTTTATTAATTTTAGCGTATTTTGTGCTTGACTGAAACCTAGAGGTACTGATCTACTTAAACAAATATTTCAGCTTAAAAGTAACCACTTTACAGAGTAGTGCTACGCATTTACATTGGATAAAACAACATGGAGTTCTAACAAATAGTGTTTGGTTGTTATAAATAGTCCATCAAAACATAGTCACAGAAAAAAAATAGAGCAACTAAAAACTGATAGCAACTAAAAATTGATTTTTAAGTTTCTAAGGTAAACGTCATCATTTACTGCATCTGGCACATTAAACATCATCAGTTTCTTCAGCGGGCAGTAAAAATGCCAAGCATCATCATCAGCTCAGAAGATAACAATTTTGTATGATGTATATGTCCAAAATGAACAGTCACTTGCAAATAAATGCCAGCTAGAGTAATTTTTACTGACATTATTAGATTTTAACTGGCATTTTGCCAGTATGCCAGCTTAAATTCGAACCCTGACCGTACTGATCAGGGGAGGTAAATGCTACAAAGGAACACAACTCTGATTAAACATGCTGTTGCCCTTCTTAACTATATCCTTCTCCATCATAAACCATTGTGTTGCATGCAGTCAACATATCCTACACTTCAGTAAGGATGAGTTACCCTGTATTTAGATCACTTCCAAAGGAGGACCACCTACCTGATGCTTTTCGTTATCATCAATGCTTTTATAAGAAGATAAGAATTAATACATAGTGGTCATAATACTCATTAACTTTGTAATCAAACAAAAATATTTAATTCCTGGCTTTATTAAAATATGTTACTTTTTTGTGTCATTGTATATAAAGTACAAAATATTAAAAGACTCTTGAAATTGTAACTATTTACAACCGTGAATGTGAAGTTAACTCATGAAATAACAAGAATTATGTTGTTTTGGATAATAGACAATTTTAAAATTCTCGTCTGACATGATTTTTGGTTGATTTGGTGAGAAGAAAACAGAATTAAGGTCAAATTTATTTCATCTAAAATGTGTTGTTTTTTTGTTTAACAGTTTAAATGACACTTCAAGATTATTCAGTTATTCTCATTATAAATTAAATGTTCCATGTATGTTGACATGGTTGTTATTTCATATCTTTTTTCTCTTTTATCAGAGTTACCTCAGGTGTATTCCCATACTGGAGATGTGTATTTTGTAACAGAAACCACTGCTTCTTCCACTTTCTGGAGATCTTGGTTCTTTTCATTAACCATCCTTTTAATTCGTTTGTTTGAAGTTCTTCGTCATTGTGTACAGTCGACGAAGAACGATTTGTTAAACTATTTGTGCGACTATCAGAGCCATCAGAAGAGGCCATTGCCCGCAAAACAGGATTTTATTTAATATTTTGCAACTTCTTAAATTTCCAGTTTTGTTGTGTCACAAACCGATGCTTTGTTTGTCGTAAAAAAGGAGTTGTCGTTAATTTTAGAAATGATCATTTTTAAAACAATTTAGATAGATTGAGATTGATAATCGTCATGTTGCATTAAATATTTTTAATCATTTTTGTAAATTATACCAGAATTAAATTTAGTTGTAGCAAAATGTCAACTACGTGTGCGACATCGACGTCATTTGTTTGCGGTTTGTGGCTGCGACTTCACCCCAGACAAATTTTTTGCATAAATTTTGTGTTTTACGCCAATTAAAATGTTACAATTACATGATCATTCAAGTCAGTTGTTAAAATGAAATTTTTAATCATTGTATGATGCCAACCTGCTTATTTTTCTGGATATTGTTAAGTTAAAAGGACAGAACCCGGAAACGAGTTTGAAAGTGGATTATTTTCACGAGGAGATATTTACTTGAGGACATTTAAAATGTCAGAACCAGATTTGATGCGAAGGAACTTTTCGTTCCAGATGCAGATTGGTTTGACTAGAGAACAAGTTAATGTTGAGGGCGAACTAACACTTGCCAGTTTAAAGGAAATTGCATGTGCATTTGTAGATCGAAAGGTAGGCTCCTTTGTATTTTAAATAAATTCTTATGTTATGGATTAAGGAATGTGAAAGTAGAAATGTTTTTCTTTTTAACATTCATTTCACAATTTTTTTAGTATTTATATTTCCAACAATTATGTTTGACCAACATTCAGCAAACAAGTAATGTATGTTTATTTTGAAAAACAAATAAGATATACACAGATATTCTAGTGACCTACATATAGACAAGATAACTAGATAAGCAACAATTGAGACTTCCTATTTCCACAAAGTTTATCTGTCCATAGACTTTTGTTTTTTCATAAGTTTCAATGGCCATGGTCATGGTCTTTTGCAAAATCAACTTAAGCATGATGGGTCCTCCAACAGTAAACTAAAGGAGTAAAGACTTGCACAACAAGGGAATCCGGGTCAGCTCGGCCCTAAAACGTACTCGGCCCCCGAGTCAGCTCGGCCCTATACCAACTCGGCACGGGTCAACTCGGCCCACTTTTCAATTAATAATATTTAGGTTTGTGTTATCACTATTTATTGTAACTATTGTAATTATTTATAATATATGGATTGACAGTTTTCGAACTAGCAGCAGACAGGCTTTCTTATCAGTAGAATAGTGAGGAAAGATAACCGATTGCGTATCTCACTGTATTTCTGACTCGTGGTAGGTTTAACCGTAAATTTAAATACCTTCAGTGTCCAACTAACTCATTCGTTCAAATTTGATTAGTGACCATGCACCTGCAATTAATTAGAAGCTTATGATATTAAGTAAACACGTTTTTGTTTCTTATTTTTTGAATAGTACTTTTAATACAAACAAAATGCATCTAAGGAAACACATTTTCATTAGATCTATATTAATTTTATCGAATCTGCAAGACAAATGAATAACTTTTTTTTCTAAATATACTTTATTTCCGTAGAAGTAGATCTACAATGTAAAATTATATAATAATAAGATTATTTCTCATTATTCATTTACCTTAACAACATGCAAAGCAAAGTTAATACGTTATATAAATTTTTGTAAAGTGGGCCGAGTTGACCCGTGCCGAGTTGACCCGTGCCGAGTTGACCCGTGCCGAGTTGGTATAGGGCCGAGTTGACTCTTTTCCCAACAAGGCACTGGCTAGCTCTACAGGCTCATATTGGTAGCTGAAAATTCTAGCTGTACTTGATTCAGATACTGTTAGCCTATACACACTGTTGAAGCTAACTGTACAATATTTTAAAAATAAATAAAAATGTAAAACAATTATGAATATAATTATATATAATAATTGTAACTAGTTATAAATAACGAGAATTTACATCCAAAAACTCTTTAATTGTAGGTGAATTATATATTAGATGTTCATCCTTTGTTAAAACTATGACGGAATAATAAACTATTGAAGGAAATGAAATGCTACTCCAGTTAAAATTATAGCCAATAACATCAAAATCTTGTGGCTGTAAACGTTACCAATATAGCAAATTGAACAAAATTCCAAATTTGAAAATGATACTTTTTATGTCAACTTTACAGTTTCTATAGCTGGAACTTCACATTTGCTTATTAAGTTTTAAGAAAAAAATTGTTCTTAAACAACAAGCTTAGTAAAATCAGGGATTTTTTTTGCCGATATTCGGGTCATATTCCAATCGAAAATAGTATATTATTTCCCAATCCACAGGAAAAAATTCCACGTTATATATTCAGGGCTCACGCTGTCAGTCGCCATAGTCGCCATTTGCGATTATTTTATAAGATTGGCAATTATTTTTGCAGTTTGGCTACAAAATCTGGCGATTATTTTTTACTTCCAACAGTCATGACAGTGTTTACATAAGGTGTAAAAATCGATAAAGACTGCAGTAGACCAAATTAACATCGGCGGGGTAGATTTAATTGAGTGTCAGGTCACGCATTGCTTACTATTGCCCGAGGTGATAAAAAATACATGCAGGTGATAAAAATACATGCAAGATGTAAAATTGTGTATGTACTTAAAAAATATTGTCCAGCATTATAATAGCCATCAAAAACCCGTCAATAAGTTACAAAAGTCGTCTAAAAATTGATAAACTGGATATTGACCATGTTGACCAACCCAAAATTTACCTTAAATTGCAGAAGATGTCAAATTTTAAATTTTTTTCTTTTAAGCTGCTTGACTAAATCGCCAGTGGAAAACAATAATAAAATATTTAAAAAGTATTTACTTCCAAACAACTATTTGCACAACAACCAAAATTGTGAATATTTCTTCATAAAACAGGAAAAATCCGATTGTCACATATTTTCGCGACACCGATAATTTTGATATTTATTTAATTTTAAAGGTGAAAATAAGCTATGTTCTATTTAAAAATCTTTATTATTATGGCAGAAAATTTGTTTTACATTGGCGATGATGACATTTTTCAGTAAGTTATTCAGAAAAAAGGCTGCATTCTGTGAATGAGTTTGCAAGTGTTATTTCTATAGGCTAATATGACCAAGATCTACTCCAGTTCTGTGTGAAATGTGGAAATTGACAGTGGTTATAGCTGACAAAATTTGATTAGAACAAACAAAAGAAATTGTCTGATAACAGCATTATGTAAAGTTATAATGAATCTTTAATATTATTGTTATACAGTAATTATACTATATAACATTTTTATTCTGTTCTATAATAACAATTAAAGTTGTGGTTCTATGTAAAAAAGGTAGTTATCAATATACACAAATGTATCAGTTTATTTGAGAATCCTTATAAAACTGAAAAAGTTTTATATGTAATGTTTATTTAATCAACTGCTTATGTTGTTAATCGCTAAATCGTGAATAGTCCGCTGAACTTTTGGCTATTATTTTTTTAAGTTAAAAATATTGGCTATTATTTTATTTGAGCCAGTGTGAGCCCTGTATATTACAAAATAAAATATTGCATAACAAATTCTAAAATCTTGGAAAATAAGGGCTTCTTCACTGTTATGGTGTTTAAAAGTTAGAAGATGCCTTCCTAGACAGTTATTCTTTTGCATTCATTAAATCACTGCAAAATTTAAGTCATGCAATTTTTCCCAAATTTTAAGAGAACTGCTGAAATTCCCAATTCCATGGGTATGGGTCATGTTCCCAAAACCCTGGGAAAAAAACCTGCAGCTTAAATATGTATATGTACATTTTTATTGTCTCCATTTTATTTATTGGAATTAATTTATTTATAGATATATAAAGATTGTAATGCTGATTTATATTTCTTGCTAAAAGTGAAATCAGTTTAGTGGCAAACATTGTTGTTCTTTCAAGAACTGATATTGATTCTTAAGAACACTACATATAATCAGTTGGCATTGAGAGAAAAGTGTTGCAAATAGCAATAATTTTTTACATAGAAACTGCATTTTAAATGATTTTTAAAGAAATATGGCAGTTGTTAAAGTAATATTTCTTCTTCTTTTTCTTTTCTTCTTCTTCTACTTCTGGATAATGATGATGATGATAGTCATACATGTACAATGTTTAAATTTTTTTGTAACATTTTTGTCTCTACAATTATCACTTGAATAAAATGAATCATCAGTCTGTGCGAAAGTCAATCGGTCCTGGCTGAATAAAAATCATGCAGTCCGGAATAAGTTTCCTTTCAGTCAGTCCTAATGTCTGAATAAAATTTCAAGAAGTTAAAAATATGGATGACCTGTTTATACAAGTCAAATGAACCATTCCAAATGTTTCATAAACAATGGTTAATTTTGCCGTAAATTACAAATGTGAAAATTTTGTTTTACGATGCCTGTAGAAGTAGCCGATGCATATGGAAATTTTTTATATATTCTGGAGAGAAAAGAGAAAAATGCTTTCTTTTCATTTACAATGCCTCCTTAAAATTTTATATCTGGATGAAAAAAAGCCTTGTTCAAGTAATTTCCTAAAATCCTTGACCAGCATGTTTTAATAAGATGTATTTCCTGTAAATCACAATCAATATTTTTTTATTAATTTCTTAAATTTTTTAATGAAGTTTTTTTTTGGGGGGGGGTTTGGGGGGTGGGGGGATGCCTGTTTTACAGTTATATAGAATAAATAAAAGACCCAGAAGAATTTGTTCTAAAATTTAAATAAAGATTGTAACAGGCAATAAGAAATTACAGTAAAATGTATTTTGAACATATTTTAATTTTTTCAAATAATGTAGTTTCCCTTTTAAATTTATTGTTTTTAAGTACTGTGTATGAACTGCTTTAATGAGAATTAAAGTGACGACCCTTCTTTGTGGTCTGAGTTAGTTTCGGTTGTGACTTAAACTCTGACGCTGTTTAGTTTTTCAACGCTGTGTCTTCTAATTCCAACTAAACTTCATATTCTTTCAGATGACAAAGCTGTCCAATTAGCTTAAAGTTTCTTAAGGAGATCATGTTCTATTCAGGTGCCTGCATGTGCCTTAATCAGATACAATGCATCAGAAGTGCATATAAATGTATTGTCTTAATCAAACAGGAAAGTTTAAAAGTTACCATATAATGTCTTTAAATTTTTCCGGTGAAATGTAAGTAACTATAGGCCAAACAAAAAATATAAATTACTTCCACATTTTAGGGTTGTCATCATAGCTGTTGCATTGTCATTGCTTTTGAAAATGTGCTCAGGTTTTGGTTCCGTTGATATATAATATTTAATCAAATGTTCTCCAGGTGATCACATTATTATTGTGTACATGATCATTTTCACATTTGTGTGATTACTTTGTATTAATATCATCATTAAACTTTGCATTGGAATATTGATGACTCTTATGACAAGATAACTGACTACCATAACCACCTGTGTTTGATGAATCATATTTCACTCCAATAACAGAAACTTCAGTCACACTTGCGTATTGATTTATTAAACACTAGGTCATGAAAAAGGCACTTTATTATCATTATCATTATATACCTCATGATATTATATGAAATTGTGTTATAGCTGGAATTATATCACCAAGGAAACCAGTGAAATATTCATTTATTTATGACATCTATTTAGAATATTGCTG